GATTTCGTATGGACAGTAAAGTTTTGTTTCCACCTCAGAAAGCTGCTAGTCACATGACCTAATCAAAACAGCCGACTTGGATGTGGGAGGAGTCGGATATCAAACCGAGGCTCCTGCAGGCTGCAGCCTGATTTGTCTGATTTGTTTTCTAATAAGTGAAAATCCCTGAAACATCTGGATTTGAAGTCGGCTAAAGAGACAGAAATTGATGGAAAAGCGGAACCCCCCTGGATTGGAAACGTAATGTGGTTAAAAAAAAAAGAGCAGTTGGAGAAATTTAACAGGGATTTGGGTCAACAGATGTTTAAAAAAAACGCAGTTTGACAGGGGAAATATCTTGTTTCCTGAAGGATGCTGAGGCCCCCTTTCTTCTGAGGGGCGGAGCTAACGGGGGCGAGGTGGGGGGGGCACTTCTGGTCACATGACCTCTCACCTGAGTGAGCAGCAGGAAGTCGTTGAACAGGAACCCGTACAGCTCCTTGCTGCTCTTGGCCTTGAACAGCTTCCCGCTGTGCAGAAACTTCCGGGGGCCCAAACAGTTCGTCACCGAGTTGAACACCAGTTGCTGAAAGAAGGAACAGAGATCCAAACCCCAACATCATCGGTTACCATGGAGATGTTCAGTAACAAAGTAGAAGTACTTAAGTACTGTATTAAGTACCAAAATGCAGTATCTGTACTTTATTGGAGTATATATTTTTGTCCCTATTTTTACTTTTACTCCACTACATATTTTTGATTCATTTAATACTTTTACTTTCACGGGCTGAATCGTTACTCGTTACTGAAAAGTAATCGTAATGATAGATAGATCTGTCAGGGTTTGTGAAGCTGGCTCCTCATTGGTCGGTAGCCTATTAAAAAAAAGCGTCCCGAAAGATTATGAAATCATGGCCTTCAAAAATTTCCCATCTAATCTGAAGAAGCATATCAAGGTAAATTAAAAAATACAACAACATATAAGATAGTAAATAAGCGTTCAGTTCAGTTCTCCCTGTTCACTCAGGACGTAGCAGCTAACGTTAGCTAAAGCTAACCTAGCTGGCTAGCTGTATGCTAATGTTAGCTAAAGCTAACCTAGCTGGCTAGCTGTATGCTACATGCTAGCATAAAGGCTCAGCACAGGATTCTGACTCTGGAATAATAAATAATAGTAAATGAAGTGCTGTTGATTGCTAATGCAGATGTAGTTTTACTGTAGTTTAAATTCTCTAGTTATTCCCATACTATTATTACGCAATAATTTGCCGTCTGGATAATGGCTAATTTGGGCATTTTGTGATGCAAGTAGGTCGATTTGTGACAGTGTATCCTACTTTTTGAAAGCAAAAAAAAAGTAGGAATGATGCTTCACGTTGATGACCAGCAAACTTAACTCGCCCCTCTGGCCTTTTGAGATCTTTCATTTGTGTTTTGTTTTCAGTTTTTTGTAAACACCTGTATGTAAAAATACTTCTACTTGCAATACTTAAGTACAAAATAAATGGAGTACTTCAGTACTTCCACCTCAGTATGGTGTTGAAAGAACACTTCTACTTTTACTCAAGTCAAATTTTTTATATAGTACTTGTACTTCTACTCCAGTACTTTATCCATCTCTCCTCTCCTTTCCTTTCCTTTCCTTACATGTCCTTTCGTTTCCTCTCCTTTCCTCTCCTCTCCTTTCCTTTCATCCCCTTTCCTTTCCTTTCATCTCCTTTCCTTTCCTTTCGATTCCTTTCCTTTCCTTTCATCTCCTTTCCTTTCCTTTTGATTCCTTTCCTTTCCTTTCATCTCCTTTCCTTTCCTTTCGATTCCTTTCCTTTCCTTTCATCTCCTTT